TTATTTTTTTGTATTTCTGAAAGGAATAAAGAAAGAAAATGGAAAGAAACAAAGAGCGAAAAAAGAAAGAAGAAAGAAAAGAAGAGGAAATGAAACAAAAATGATGACAACAAAAAGAAAGAAAGAAATATAGACAGAAAGAAAGGAAGGAAGAAATAGAGAAAAAAAGAGAGAAGAAAGAAATATAAAGAAAGAAAGAAGAGAAGCGTAAATGAAACAGAAATGATGACAATGAAAAAAAGAAAGAAAGAAAAGCGAGAAGAAAGAAAAGAAAAAAGAAAAAAGCGGAAGTGAAAAAAAATGATGACAATGAAAAAAAGAAAGAAAGAAAGAAAAAAGAAAGAAAGAAAAGCGAGAAGAAAGAAATAAAGAAAGGAAGAAAGAAGCGGAAATGAAACAGAAAGGATGAAACAGAAAGAATGAAACAAAGAAAGAAAAAGAAAGAAAGAAAAAAAGAGAAAGAAAAAAAGAAAAAAAAGAAAGAATGTCAAGAAAAAAGAGTAAAAAGATAGAAAGCGGAAATAAAACAGAAAAACCCTAAATGAAAACAGAAAAGAAGGACAACGAAAAGAAAGAAAGAAAGAAAGAAAAGAAAGAAAGAAAGCCAAAATAGAAAACAGAAAAAAATAGGCGGAAAACAGAAAGAAAAGAAAGAAAGAAAGAAAGAAATAAAGAAAGAAAGAAAGAAAGACAAACGATTAGAAGAAGAAAAAAAAAAAAGAAAGACTGGTGGTAGAGACCAGAAGAAAAAGAAAAGAAAGAAAGAAAGAAAGAAAAAGAAAGAAAGAGCGAAAAGAATTAAAGAAAGCAAGAAAGAAAGACTGGTGGTAGATCAGAAGAAAGAAAGAAAGAAAGAAAGAAAGAAAGAAGGAATAAAAGAAGAGAGAAGGTAACTGAAAGAAACAAACAAACAAGGAAAGGAAAGCGAAAAAAAACAAAGAAATAAAGTGAAAATGAAATAAAAAGAACAGCGAAAAGAAGGAAAGACATACTGATAGATAGACAGAAAGAAAGAAAAAGAAAAAGAGAGAAAGAAAGAAAAGAAGGGAAAAAAAGAGAAAATAACTGAAAGAAAGAAACAAACAAACAAATAATGAAAAGAAAACAAAAAGAAACAAAGAAATAAAAAATGAAAATGAAAAAAGAAATAAGAACAAATAAAAAATAAAAAATTTTCAAGGATAAATTTTGGCAATCATACTGATAGATAGACAGAAAGTTAATCAAATATATAAAAGCCTAATGGAAGAGTGGAGAAAACAACATTTTCCCTCTCTCTCAATCCTAACAGAAAGAAAAGTAAGGGAATTAAAAAGAGAAAATAAAGACTATTTTTAAAAATTATACAATTAAAAGTTGTTTACGAGATTAACAAACATTCATATACAAGAGTTATGACTCTTTAATTCTTTTTTAAACGGAAACCATTTCAAAAGTGAATAACAAAAGGGAAATCAAAGTGTTCGGACAAAACTGTTTTGACGCAAAAAACCTCATCAAGTCATTGGTCATTTTTTATGTGTAATAAAGTAACAAATAAAAAATAATAAAAAATTATTTTATGGATTATTTTTTGATTTTTGGCGTTTAATCATTTTTCGGGTGGGCATATTCTGACAAAAAAAAAAAAAATTAAATTACATAGATAAAGCCCTTCTTCTGTACTTGTCAGAACTTTTTGTATCTCCTTGAGGCATTCCAGGAATCCCTTCAATTAGTCTACTGCAATCTTTTCCAACCATAGGGATTGTTGATGTTTCCATGCATTTTTTTTTTTTTATTATTATTATTATTATTATTATTATATATTATTATTATTATTATTGGTAACTTTGGAAAGTGGAGAAAACGAATTTCACTCAGGTTTTTCCTCTCTCTCAATTATGAATCCATCTCAGCTCCTAGAAAGAAACGTGCTATTTATAGCAGTGCAGACTGAGTCCTATAGCCTTTCTTGGCAACCTAGAGCTGGAAAAGCTTCTGCTTTGTTGGTCATGAATCTAAAAACATAACAAGCGGTTTCTATCATTTAATTGAAAATCCATGGGTCCTATAGACTTGGCAGTCTACAGTGAAAAAAACAACCTTCTAAAAAATATAGGATCATGAATCGGTAGAGACATGATTAAGCGTCTTTCACGTATGGCATTTAACTGATTTACTGATCTTTGGGTTCTGTAGCCTTGTTTGGCAACCAGTCTCCCACAGAAATAAGAGACATGATCGCACAAGCGTGTATTACGTATGGCACTAAACTGATTGACTGATCCATGGGTCTTATAGCCTTGGTTGTCTACCAGTCTACAACAGAAAGAAACGACAACCTATTGCTTGAAGATACTCCTGCATAGTCATTCATGAATCGAAAGAAACATGATCGCCCAAGCGTGAATAACTTATGGCACTTAATTGGCTCATTGACTGAACTAATTTCAAGCAACCATACCCAATATTTAAAAAAAAATCTAATCCTTGCGTTAAGAAAAAAAGTATGTGTTAATCTTTAACACGGTTAATCAAATCATTGTTGTCCTTAAAATATGGGGACTCGCATGTGCGCGGTCACACGCACTTAATCTAATAGATAGAGAAAGAGAGAACAAATTCCGGAAATAAGATATGCATTTCCGTTTCCTGTTTTTACTTTTCCATCCTTAATTGAGAATATGTTATTTTGTTTATTTGGGCCGCCTTTACGACAAGAGGTATAAGGGTTCATGCCTTGACAAAGATTTTCTTTTTTTTTTCTTCTTCTTAGCTGCTTCTCGAATCATAGAGTAGCAAAAATTGTTCCACATATTTTACTCAACCTGGGAGGTCTGCGTGGTTGAGGAATGCAAGGGAAGTGTGCTGCATCTTTATGCATTCATCATTTGGGCAATAAGGTGGGGTTATTTATCTGCGTTTTTTGTTTCAAGGGAGAAGCATTGAAAAGGAAAAGAGTTGGGGAGATATATAGGCAGAGAACAGAGAGAAAAAGAAAGCGAAGAGAGGGTAGAAGTAGAAACAAAAGAAAGAAAGAAAGAAAGAAAGAAAGAAAGAAAGAAAGAGGGAAAAAGAAAATATATCAATAAAAAAGAACGACAACAAAAAAGAAAGAAAGAAGAAAAGAAAGAAAAAGAGACAGATAAAAAAGAATGGGAACTAAAAGAAAGAAAGAAAGAAAGAAAGAAAGAAAGAAAGAAAGAAAGAACGAAACACATTAGATGAGAAGAAAGAAAGAAAGACTGGTGGTAGATCATAAGAAAGAAAGAAAGACTGAAAGAAAGAAAGAAAGAAAGAAAGAAAGAAAGAAAGAAAGTAAGAAAGAAAGGTGGTAAATTAGAAGAAAGAAAGAAAGAAAGAAAGGAAGGAAAAGAAAGTAAAAGGCGATAGAGTAGAAGAAAGAAAGAAAGAACGAACGAAACGCATTAGATGAGAAGAAAGAAAGAAAAAAAAGAAAGAAAGAAAGGCGGTAAATTAGAAGAAAGAAAGAAAGGAAGGAAAGGAAAGAAAGAAAGTAAAAAGCCGATAGATTAGCAAAAAGAAAGAAAGAAATAAAGAAAGAGGGAAAAAAGAAAATATATCAATAAAAAAGAACGACAACAAAAAAGTAAGAAAGAAAGAAGAAAAGAAAGAAAAAGATAAAAAAGAATGGGAACGAAAAGAAAGAAAGAAAAAAGAAAGAAAGGCGGTAAATTAGAAGAAAGAAAGAAAGAAAGAAAGAAAGAACGAACGAACGAACGAAACGCATTAGATGAGAAGAAAGAAAGAAAGAAAGAAAGAAAGAAAGAAGAAAAGAAAGAAAAAGATACAGATAAAAAAAGAATGGGAACGAACAGAAAGAAAGAAGAAAAAAAAAGAAAAGAAGAAAGAAAAAAATATCAAGGAATCAGAAATAGGCAAAAGTAACGAAAGAAAGAAAGAAAGAAAGAAAGAAAGAAAGAAAGAAGAAAAAAAAAGGAAAAATCAAGGAAATCAAAATCAAGGGAAAAAAAGAAAGAAAAATATCAATAAAAAATGAGAATGAAAAGAAAATGAAGGACGAAAGGAAGAAAGAAAAAATACAGATAAAAAGAATGGCAAGAAAGAAAGAAAGAAGAAAAGAAAGAAAAAAGTTATAGGTAAAAATGAATGAGAACGAAAAGAAAGAGATAAAAAAGAAGAAAAGGAAGAAAAAAGAAAAAAAGAAAGAAAGAAAGAAAGAAAAAAGAAAAAAAGAAAGGCGGTAAATTAAAAGAAAGAAAAATAGGCGGTGAATTAGAAAAAAGTAGGAAAGAAAGTAAAGCAGTATATGAGAAAAAAGAAAGCAAGAAAGAAAGAATGGTGGTAGATTAGACGAAAGAAAGAAAGAAAAAATGAATGAAAGAAAGAAAGAAAGAAAGAAAGAAAGAAAGAAAAAAAAGAAAGAAAGAAAGAAAGAAAGAAAAAGAAAAAAGAAAGAAAAAGAAAAAAGAAAGAAAGAATGGTGGTAAATTAGAAAAATGAAAGAAAGAAAAAGAAAGAAAGAAAGAAAGAAAAAAGTCGAGAGATTAGAAGAAAGAAAGAAAAAGGCGGTAAATTAGAAGAAAGAAAAATAGGCGATGAATTAGAAAAAAGTAAGAAAGAATGTAACGCAGTAGATTAGATGAAAGAAAGAAAGAAAGAAAGAAAGGAAGAAAGAAATAAAGAAAGAAAGAACGAAACGTATTGGATTAGAAGAAAGAAAGCAAGAAAGAAAGACTGGTGGTAGATCAGAAAAAAAAGAAAGAAAGAAAGGAAGAAAGAAAGGCGGTAAATTAGAAGAAAGAAAGAAAGAAAGAAAGAAAGAAAAAAGAAAGAAAGAAAGAAAGAAAGAAAGAAAGGCGGTAAATTAGAAGAAAGGAAGAATTTAAAAAGGACGAATGAAACGCATTAGATTAGAAGAAAGAAATCAAGAAAGAAATCCTGGTGGTAGATCAGAAGAAAGAAAGAAGGAAAGAAAGAATGAATGAAAGAAAGACAGAAAGAAAGAAAGAAAGAACGAAACGCATTAGATCAGAAGAAAGAAAGAAAGAAAGAAAAAAGAAAGAATGAAAAAAAGGCGGTAAATTAGAAGAAAGAAAAATAGGCGATGAATTAGAAAAAAGTAAGAAAGAATGTAACACAGTAGATTAGAAGAAAGAAAGAAAGAAAGAAAGAAAGAAAGAAAGAAAGAAAGAAAGAAAGAACGAAACCTATTGGATTAGAAGAAAGAAAGCAAGAAAGAAAGACTGGTGGTAGATTAGAAGAAAGAAAGCAAGAAAAAGAAAAAGACTGGTGGTAGATCAGAAAAAAAAAAGAAAAGAAAAAAGGCGGTAAATTAGAAGAAAAAAGAAAGAAAGAAAAGAAAGAAAGAAAGAAAGGCGGTAAAATAGAAGAAAGAAAAATAGGCGATGAATTAGAAAAAGTAAGAAAGAAAGTAACGCAGTAGATTAGAAGAAAGAAAGAAAGAAAGAAAGAAAGAAAGAAAGAAAAAGAAAGAAAAAGGTGATTGATTAGAAGAAAGAAAGAAAGAAAGAAAGAAAAGAAATCATTAGATTAGAAGAAAGAAAAGAAAGAAAGAGAAAAGATTGGTGGTAGATCAAAAAAAAGAAAGAAAGAAAGAAAAGAAAGAAAGAAAGAAAGAAAGAAAGCCGGTAAAAGAAGAAAAAAAATAGGCGATGAATTAGAAAAAGTAAGAAAGAAAGTAACGCAGTAGATTAGAAGAAAGAAAGAAAGAAAGAAAGAAAGAAAGAAAGAAAGAAAGAAAGAAACGCATTAGATTAGAAGAAAGAAAGAAAGAAAGAAAGAAAGATTGGTGGTAGATCAAAAGAAAGAAAGAAAGAAAGAAAGAAAGAAAGAAAGAAAGAAAGAAAGAAAGCCGGTAAAATAGAAGAAAGAAAAATAGGCGATGAATTAGAAAAAGTAAGAAAGAAAGTAACGCGAAAGAAAAAGGTGATTGATTAGAAGAAAGAAAGAAAGAAAGAAAGAAAGAAAGAAAGAAAGAAAAAAGAAAGAAATGCATTAGATTAGAAGAAAGAAAGAAAGAAAGAAAGATTGGTGGTAGATCAAAAGAAAGAAAGAAAGAAAGAAAGAAAGAAAGAAAGAAAGAAAGAAAGAAAGAAAGAAAGAAAATTGGTGGTAGATCAGAAGAAAGAAAGAAAGAAAGAAAGAACGAAACAGAAAAGTAAGGAAGGAGGAACAGCATGGAAATGCGAATAATCGAAAGAAAATTAGACAAGAAAAAATACAACCGGAAGACGGAATAGAAACAAAAAATTTTAGAAGAAAAATGCAAAGTAAAATACACGAATAAAAGTAAAAATATTAAAAGAAAGAAAGAAAGAAAGAAAGAAAGAAAGAAAGAAAGAAAGAAAGGCAAAAAGAAAAAAGAAAAGTTGAAAAAAGAAAAGAAAAAGAATAATCTTAACATTTGTAAAATTCATTATTTAGTGGAGCATCTGTTAAGAAATACGCAAGTCTTTCCGTAAATATCACCGTTTGTATGGTAGTTCATATGTACCGACCGGTAAACACACAAAGACACACACCTAAGCAGATACACACAAAGACACACACGCCAGCGCACCCATAGGTACACAGAGATGGACAACGATGTCGCCGATCTGGTTATATTTATAAAATGAATGGGAGGTGTCGAGTTATAAACACAACACCCAGCCACATATCGGGTACAGCTGCACTATAAAAACCTTGGCAAGAGCGACTCACCTGAGAACGCCACACCTCAGGGTGGGTAAGTGCTTTTGTGTGTGTGTGTGTGTGTGTGTGTGTGTAAAAAGAGATGGTGCATGCGCGCAGGAGGTAAACATACGCAGATATACAAATATCTGTTTCTACGCACGTGTGCCAGTGTATCGAAACAGAACTACTGTCTCAGTGCGCTCGCTGGCTCTTTGAACGCAAAGAAAGAAGAAGTACAAGAAGAAGAAAAAGAAAGAAGAAGAAAAAGAAAGAAGAAGAAAAAGAAAGATAAAGATTTGAAAGTGAGGCTAGAAAGAATGGAAGTCTAATAGAAAAAAAATAATCTAACCGTTAAAACCTGTTCGTTGACTCTAGCAAAGCTTTTAACGGGGACGAGACAACGGAATCAGGCACACCAGAACCTATATACGGAAAAGCAGGAAACATACTATTTCGCCTTGGAATGACATCAGGAGAGTAGATAAAGGAACGAAGCAAAATAATTAAGAAGCAAACATTAGAAAATACGACCGGTTATAAATAATAATAATAACAACAACAACGTAGCATTATTATTATTATTATTCCTTGGAGCCCTCACTTGTATGGGTGCCAGACAAAGCCAACCAATACGCAGCCAATCAACAGCACTATTATTATTATTATTATTATTATTAAGCAAGCAAGGCTTACGGACAAATCAAGTTGAAACACCGGCCGTACGATCATCGGAGTTAAGCAACGTCGAGTCTGGTCAGTACTGGCTTGGAATTGTTAATCGAAGAGCCGAGTTTTAATTCCAGCTGGGTTCTGTATGTTCACTTACGTGCAAATACA